AAGCCCCTTTGTGTGAAGCCAGAGGAAGGAAGGAAGGAAGGAAGGAAGGAGGGAAGGGAAGCGAAGGGAAGCGAAGGGAAGGCATAAGCCACATTCAAACCCAATGCTTCCTAATGGTTCCTAATTGTCATCTAGAAATGAATAATACTTGAAGCGCTTTAAGTATTATTCATTTCTAGATGACAATACAGATAGGTGGTCCATGTTATTTTCTTGGTAGCAATACCAAGCTCAGAGAACCTCAAGGACTCCACAACAATACCTTCTTCTGGGATATTTGACTACACAGCCTAGCCTACAGACCTCGGGTTTCTTGGTAGTCTTTCATCTGAATTCTAACCAGGCCTGGTCTTCGGTTTCTTCTGGATCAGCAGTAGACAAACATTTTTATCAGCTACCCTTACACAGTTAAGCCGCTCAGAGGTCAGGGTGTTCTGGAGGCACGGTACTTAAGGGCCACAGAAGCAGTTGTCTCACAGATGCTTCCATCTATTGCAGTAAATCAATAGCTGAGCTGCTCTATCCTAAAAGGCATCTTAAGGCACTGGAGCCCTAACCTGAAAGCATTTAAAAGCTTCTCAGGTTATTTCCATGAGCATGATTGAACTTTACGCTTTATACACACTTGTCATAGGAGGAGTTAACCACGTGTTTGTGTGTGTGTATACACACTAAAGAGCTTAGGAATGAGAAAGACCCCTGATCCTTTTAGCTAGCCCATGCAAACCGGACAGTTAAGGTTGGAGAAGGCTATCTCAAGATGGGTGGACCTGAACTTCTGGAATTCTGTAACCAACAGCATTATTGCGGAAAATTCTCGGAATTTAAGTCCACACATCTCAAGGGTACCTGGTTTGAGGAAAGTTGCTCAAACATTTCAGATCTGTAGTGACCAAAATATACACATAAAATCAAAACACAGCCACTCAGTGCAGCAGAAGATTCCAACAATCACATTTCTAGAGGCAGTTTTGATGTTGTAGTAACATGTAATTTGTGTTTAACTGACTACTGGTACATGGGAATAGTAAATCTGAGCAGCGTGATAACTAATAAAATATTGTCTAGTTGTCAGCAGGAAGTGAGCTGGGCAAGCATGCCACAGTAACCCACTGATATTATAAAACTTCATAAGAGTAACATCTATTGAGGATTTTACTTTGAAATATTTAGTTTGTCTATTTAGTTTCTACTCTATCTTTCTATACAATGCATTCAAAGTCATTACATCATATTACATTCATATTACAATGCCATCGCCTTGCAATATACATTACATTCAGCGATATGTTATTCTAAATAAAGCAGAAACTCCTGTTTTAAGGGGACTACACATGGGGTAAACTGTTAGGTTTACGTAAGAAACTGGAACGTCCAATCTACACAAACAACCCAGGTAACTGATTCTGAGAAAGCTCTCCAAAAATACACTTTGCACATCAATGCATGGTGTCCTGCCAAGCATAGTACGCACCCAATGTAATGGCTTTCCTTCATTTGTACTCCAATGCAAGTTGCTTTTTGCATCTTTCATACTTGCGTAAATGAGTTAAGTGCTTCTAAGGAACAGAAACGTCTCAGAGATCAAAAGCATCTTCACAATTGATGAGGAGACACAGCCTTTCACACAGATGGATTCTTAAGTCACAGCAACAGATTCTGCCTACAAGGTTACAAGAGGGCATCGTTCTTTTTACATCAGCTAACTTCTGCTTGTAGAAGGAAACGTTCCACACACCTATGAAGCCAAATGTTGCGCCTGCAACATTTGAGCTAACAGATGTGGCATTTGGTCCAAGCATCTGCTAACAGCCTTGAGATGGGTGCAACAGATATGAACACCTTCATTAAGGCACAACTTCTGATAGTTAACTAGCAGTTATCACAGCTTTAGTTTTGCTGAAGTGCGCACAAGTTCACTAATACCTTGCTGTATTTCATTAGCGACGGCTAATTATTTCAGGCAGCATCACTGTCCTCCTCGGCGACTGAAGCATATTCAGGAAAGCATCTGCAAATAGAATGTCACAAACGTCTGTTGCCTAGGCAACCCGTTCCCTCCCCCACCTTCTCCTTGTGCTTGGGGAGAAACCAGAAAGGGCCGTGAAGGAAAGCAACGCAGCACGTTGGAAACCTTGCACAAATAAATGCACCCGAACATACCACGGGCCTTGCTAGGGCCACATAAGATTACATACAGAAATATGGACGATTATTATTTTTCGGCCGTTTCCATGGAAACGGTGACGGGGAGAAATATGTTGCATGACACCAGAGAGAACCCGCAGGTATCCGGACCGTTCTCGTTGGCTTCGACTCCCTTTCCTCCTCAAAGAGATATATAAATTTTAAAACCCGAAACCAAAGGGCTTATCTGGTAAAGGAAAATCGCAAATCACGTCCAAGTCCTCCCCCCGCCCCAAATAAAGGCTGCCAATCGAGTTCCTCCAAACAACAGACCATCTTTCTCTCCCCCACCTCCCCGCCTCATTAAATTAGATACTTCTGTACTTTTAAAGGGCGACACCCCAAGCAAGGGAAGAGGAGCGAAGGTGGAAACGTATGATTAGGAGGCGTGCAAAGGGAAAGTTCCCTGGAGCTCACAGCGAGGAAAATCACGCATACCTCGTGCTAGCCAGCCGCTGACATAGATGCTCTGGAAAAGCCGAGCGAGACCCACGCAAGCCGCGAAACGCCGCTTCTTTGCCTGACCTGGAAGTCAGCCAACAGTGGGGGGTGGGGGGGGAGCGAGACTCCACCCTCGAGGCGGTTCCTTCAAAATAAAATTAAAAAATAAAATTAAAAACCTCAGCTGACGTTTCTCTCCCCACCGCGTGTCACTTCCTTTTAAAACTGCGAGGGGAGGAAGAGAGAGACGCATGACTCGACTTCTTGTCCAGGAGCCCGCCAATTGTCTGGAAGGAGTCGCCCTTCCCCCAGTCTTTGCTCTCCCCTCGGATCGAAACCGACGGCCGAACAAAAGCTCTTTGCAGAGCATCGCTCCCTTCCTCGCCCTCGCTTTCTCTCGCGGCGAAAGAGGGCACGAAAAGGTCCCCTCCGCGTTTTCCGAGCTGACACCGCTGCCGAGACTGGAGCACGTGCTCCAAATGATAGTCAATTAAAAAGAACCACGATCGGGAACGTCGAAGTGCCCCGGAGCGCCCCTCCCAAACACCTTCTCGCCAACTTTATTACCAGAGACGGACGGTAGGAAACATGGCGATTTCGACAGCGTTTTTCCGCATTGCAAATTAACGGGAGTTCATAGAAGTTCGCTGGCTCTCCGCGAACCTTTTGCAGTGTTTGGACAAGCAATGTCGCTGGGGCCCAAGTGTGTTTAACTGGAAGTGTATGAACTGTGGCTTATGCTCAAGTAAGAGGGACGATCATCTTAAGAATAAGGCGTGCTCCGGTTTACATCCATCTTCTTAAAAGTCAGAGGCTATGTACTCCCAGGCAGTAGTGCCCAAATTTTGAAATAGGCCCCAGACGTCTGAAGGGGGTCATCGTTTCAAGGAGAAGGCTTTGATAGCAGCAAGAGATGAAGTGGAATGGTAAGATTGGAGGCTACAGAGAGGAGGAACATAAATGGAGATCTGCCCACATCAAATGCTCCCTTTGGGGTCTTCTCCGGTAGACTGGATCTAGTCAGTGTAGCTCTTTCATGGCTTACACCCATCTCTTGAAGAGATGACTGCTGCTCTTTGTCATGGTTTCTCAGGACCTTTAAACCCCTAGTGTTTGCACATTATGCCCAAGACAGGAAGGATTCCAAATCTGGATAGGGAGTGAGCCTTGCTGCTCCAGAGGGCAGGAGCAGAATCAGTGGGTTAAACTACAAGGAAGCAGGTTCAGACAAGACATCAGGAAGACCTTCCTGAACATATGAGCTATGAGCCCATAGAATGTGAAGTAGTCAATTCTCCTTTGCTAGAAGTCTTCAAACAAAGGCTGGATGATCACCTGTCAGAGATGCTTGAATGGTCCCTGCACAGAGCAGGGGTAGGACTAGGTAATCTGTAAGGTTTCCCTTCCAGTTTTTTATAATTCCCTTACGGATCTACATTCTCATCCACGGACATTGCAGGGCAGCAACCTGTAACACTGTGGCTGCACCCTGGCTTCTATAGCATGTAGGAGAGGCTTTGGATGAAGACTTTTATTCTAGGCTGCTGTAGTGCCAGGCTTATAATGCTGGGCCTGATTCATAGATATCTGCTTAGTCAACAATAAGGCTATTTATGGGGTGAAGACTTGACTCTGAATTGCTTTTAACTACTGTATAAGCCTGTTTGAATGTTCATGCATGCACAGTGCAAACTGAGTGGAAAAGGTGAAAAGTTCACTGGCCTTGTCTTTTCCTTTAATGCCCCTCCATGCTTTGGAAGGTGGGGGGGAGCATGTAAACTGCCTGCTGTAAAAGTTCCCTTTTAATAGGTAAAAAGAAGCAGTGGAGGGGAAAGGATCTGTCATCTCACCTTCCACCCACATACAATTTCTTTTCATGTGCTTCAATGTCCAGGTAGGGTTTAGGATTTCTAACACTATCTCCCAGATCTTAAAGCTTCACCCTCCTTTGCATTTGTGCGTGCTGGTGTAGTTTCTGCTGTTAGCCTTTCTATTAAATGCTACATGCTAAGTGAAGGAATTGAAACTGCCATTTGTCATAATTCAGAAATGGAAACAACAAAGACAGTCTTGCAAGAAAAGTTCAAAAGTCTGTGTTCAATAAAAAGTTAAATACTGTGAAAAACAAGATGGATGTGGAAGCCCTGAATAATAAGTGTGTACAATACTGTGCAACAAACAGAAATTTATGTAAGTTTGGACTAATTGTGTATGTGTGTATATATATGTGCACAGAATTTCATTAGATGTAATGCAAATGTAGTGTAAATTTTTGTAGGGTTCTTTTTAAATTGATCCAGAAAACTCAGTGATAATTTTGACTTTTTATATGTTAAATGTTATTTGCTGATCATAGGGTCTAGTGGCAATTTAAAAACACTTGTGAAAGCATAAACTATTGATTAGTTCAGTCTTTTTGTTGTAAGTAAATATGTTTTAAATACACACATATACATGTGTATAAAATATCACATACCCAGGGTACATAATTTAGGTACATGAGAATAAATGGTGTAACTATAATCCTCAAAGGAGTGACCATATTAATTCAGGAAAAAATAACAAATGTTGTGAAAAGATAATGTCACAATAAATCTGTTGGTCTTCATGGTGCTACAAAACATCACTTAACTGTTTCACTTGCACTCAGATCAATATTGGCATAGAATGCACAGACCAAAAAATGGTTACTAAATGCATCAAGTTTGAGCAAAGACTGGTGGAACAATCAGTCACTCTTACCTTAACAGATCAACTATGTTGGCATTTACAAAAAGAATGTCAATAATCTTTAAAAAGTCATATCCTTTCCAGTTCTAGAAAAACTGAACAGCCCACGTCCATTAACTAAGAAAACGTGATACAGTGATATACAAAACCTTTTACATATAGCACATTAATATTAATCGATCTTGCTGAGTGCTGACATGTTTTAGAAATCCTGTGAATGCATTCTACTATATTATGTGTTTCTTTACACTTTCCATTATCCACCACTTCAACTCTTCCATTTTATAAGCAGTGCTACACTGTGTGGTAAATGTCATTTAGTGCTAAAAGTGACTTGACAGCTCAAAGCCTGCATGTACACAAACTTTTTATTTATTTCACTCAGTGACTGTCTTCATTGTAGCATTATGTTAAGTCAGGATTTGCCTAAAGATTCTATACAGTAAGCCACAGACATATAAACCATGATGGCCAGTTTCCAAAACATGCAATACCACAATACATAAGCCACATAAAGGCCTAACAATGAGCCAATCTTTGACTAAATTAAACTATTTTATTGCCTCCATTAATGCCTTGCTCCCATATCTGACTTTATTTTTATCTGTTCTTCGGTTCTGTTGTTACTTTTTCATTGTACTTTATACCCTGCTTTAAACAAATCTTCACTTGACATAGGTTGGGCAGTTATTAGTCTGTTCGGTGATCTTTAATTATTAGCATTTGTATTGGAATGTACAGATTTGATCTGTATTGAATATAAAAATATTGAGCGTTTCTAACAAATATTATACCAATAAAATACTTTTTTTTAAAGAAAGTGGCATTTGTATAACACATCTATTCCTTCTACATAGCATCTCAGCTCATTCATATAATTTCTAACATTAATCATTCTCTAACAAGTGAATTATTGAATTTTTCCAATGCTAAGCATGAACAATTCTTGCAACCAGAAACAATTTCTCTGAAAGACAGGATATTGGCTGGTCCCCAGAGAAAGCAGATTCACTACTGGAATCAGTTTGTCTTTTTATTAACCTTTATTAATACAACTGCCAAAGGATGGAGCAGAAGCTCACCCATGCTTCTGATCATGCCTACTCTTTCTTTCCTCTTTCCGTGACTGGCTAAGACAGAGTTTTTCAAATGTTTTCAGGTTGTAGAACCTGTTAGACAGCAGGGCTTTTGTGAACTTTTTAAAACTTATCTCTCAAACCCACCAACCACCCCAGGGTCTGTGGCTTTTCAATGTCAGCTGATAAGCCCCACCCATTCCACTGTACCTTAGAAAAATTGCTGTGGACACTCCTTGTTGCATCTGAGTGATTTTGTTTTCCCTGCTCTTAGTCTCTCATGGAACCCCATCAAATTCTTGTGGAACTCACAGACCACAGTTTAAAAACCTGGGCCAAGACATTGTCCATTGACAGGAATAAAGATGAGGCAGGCCATGTTAACTGTTTGAACACTCTGACAGATTTCTTCCTGTGATCCTGATCATCTGTTTCAGAACCAGTCAGCACCTACAGAAGTGTTTCTACCCAGAGAAGGTTGTCTGTGGCCAATAGCCAATCAGTATATGATGGAGATTTTTTTAAAACTATTGTTTTTCTTTGTACATCTATTGGGTTTTTGAGACTCAGAGAGTTTGAGAACAGAAGGGATCAACCAAACAACCAGAGAAGATGCAAGGTTAAGATTCTTCCTCCTTTTGCAAGTTGATGGAGAAAAGGAAAGAGAATAGAATGGAAACTATTGCTCATATTTTAATATATTATGTTGTTTGAAAAGCCTGGAGGGGCATCTAATAGATCAGAAAGAGTGAATAAAGTTTCCTTGAAGCTCTCAGTGGTGTTTTCTCTTTTTTAAGAAATAACATTGTAAGCTTCAATTAAAAATACCTTCGGATGTGGGTGTTTTTCTGAGGATCAACAGTTTGTTTTCTGTGAAACGTTGTATTTTGCTTTGTGGGGATGAATATTTAATTGAGCATTTTGAGCCTGAGCACCATCTGATGTTCAGGTTCTTGTGAATTGAATATTGTAGCAGAAAACTGTTTGGCCCAGCGAAATTTAGGTTTTTGTTTTTTAATCTTCCGCTCGTGTTTTGAGAAATTTGTTTTTGTGATTGACCATACCGCCATGGCAGTGAAGATGGAAAGTTCTTCCCTATGGCAACCAATTGGTGAGATGCTCAGATATGCCCACCAACCCAGAATGATTTGGGGCCCTTTGGTTTATCTGTTCAGTGCTTGAATTTTTAAACAATATTTACTAGACATCTGACAAGGGGAAGCTATAAAAACTCTTTGCTTAGCTTCTTTCAGCTAAACATG